CGAGGCGGACGCCGTGCCCCGAAACCACTCTGTCCACTTTCATAAGAAAAATGCGGAGATGAAAAGCTCTTTCCATTTGTGTCAAATTTATGCTTACTATATTCCCCTGCAGCTACCCAAAAAAAAAAAAAAAATGTTTTCTCTCTGCCTAACAACATTAGGGTAAAAAAAAAAAGGCTCTTCTTTGACGACTTCAACAACAACGACGACAACAACAATGTATGAAATACACACACACAAACACAATCTATATCATATACGCATACAAATAAATAACACATACTTACATGCCTCTGTGTGTGTGTGTGTGTTCAACTGGGGTATTTTATAAATATAATTTAAAATGTAATATCTGTCGGTGTGCTTTGGTACACACAAAATCTATTGTCCCAAAAAATAAATATGTAGCACTGTTCCAGACTTGTTCTGGCCTTCACAAAAAGGTCCAGATCGTACAGCCTGATGACATACAATGAACTGCCGTATCCGAGGCAATCCATACATTTGTAGACGCAAAACAATTAGGTAACCAGGTCCAAATAAAGACAGGAGACAATCAATAGATGCCACAATAGCGTTAGCAGCAGAAAGTGTAGGGTAGGCAAATATTTTCTGGCACAGTTAGTTGTCATGTTTAACTAGGTCGTAAAAAAATACCAGCTATAATTTCACCCTGTATCTTTGTTTGTCAAACACAGACAACAAGGGGGAAAGCTTACAAGGAGCAAGAAGACGACGGCAGAGACAGTTTCAATATGTACAGTATTACACAACTACTATTTAGTTGTTGACTAAAACATACAGTCATATTTTGTGACTAGTCTCGAATTATTGATACAATAAGCGGTATTTATACATAGGACTCGATGAGGGTGGACATCCAGGCTGTTGCTTCAAATACCTATCTATGTAGATTATTCTCCACAGATGCGCGGACATCAACACAAGCATGAAGCTTTCATACACCTTCTACCTTTGCGTTGTCTTCCTTGCTCAGGGTAAGATGTTATTATTGCTCTGTCCAAACTATCTTTCGGGGGTAGAAATTGCAGGAAATAAATGCATGCTAAATTGACACAGACAGTGTTTTCCGGTTTTTCTGTGTGGTTTATCGCACTCCGAACAGGCAACTGTTGACAATAGCCGAAGCTTTAACAATTAGAATTATAAAAAAAAAATTATTTTTTTTGTAAGCAGACAAAATTTATACTAAATACATTTAATAGATAAATATATTGTATATTGTGCCTGTTTAAAAAAAATTTAAAGTTAGGACTGCACGATCATTATCATCACGTGCCCTGCCGACTGGGGTAAGCGTTCATAAATCTCCACCGATCTTTGTGCATTGTTCTCTGGATCAGTATTACCGATGATATCCCCATATGCCACTATCACAATCCATCTCTTGGTCTGCCCTCTCCCTCTTCTATCGTTGATCTTTCCAGTCGTCACAACATTCTCCATAGCCTCGGCACGATAGATTTCATAAAGGTCACCAGCCTCCTCTATAAATTTTGTGTGATAAGGTTAAAAGTATAAGAAGAAAAAGAATAATAATAATAATAATAATAATAATAATAATAATAATAATAAGAAGAAGAAGAAGAAGAAGAAGAAGAAGAAGAAGAAGTGAAGGAGAATAAAAAAAATAATAACAATAATATTACAAAGAAAAGAAGAAGGAGAATAATAATGATAAAACAAAGGAGGAAGGAGGGGGAGGAAGAGAGAAGGAGAAGAAGAAGAAGAAGAAGAAGAAGAAGAAGAAGAAGAAGAAGAAGAAGAAGAAGAAGAAGAAGAAGAAGAAGAAGAAGAAGAAGAAGAAATAGTAAAAAGAAGCACAGTATAATGTTGATGGTTTGATCATGAAAGAAAGCGAGGAGAGACAATTCCATGCTGCTGAAGTGTGCGAGCTACAGGAGGGACTTGATTGACCAGACAACATCACACTGGAGGACAGTAGCAGCAGATTTACTATTGTGTTGAAATCATAAGTGTTGTCAAATACCGAGCAGCAGGTTGGAAAGGTCAAGGGTACGTGTCATACACTGAAAGCCTTGGGCCATTTTTAAGCTGCTTTTCCAGGTAACTCGTTAGGTTATTGTTCCAACAATGGTCAGACATCTTCGCTGATGTAGAATTCAGGACAGCTCGCATACGCTGGATGTTGTATTCGCTCGGAGAGCGTTAGTTGTCTATCCATTTACACAGTATGTGACCTTCATTCATACTTTCGCAGGCATGTCTACATCGGAGGTGTAACTCGAACTGTATAAGGCACTCCCTGACAGCTCTGCACTCGCTACGTTGACCTGGAAACGATTTAAGTAAAGACTGGGACACATAACTACCAGAGCAATAAGCAAACGTAACAGCGAGACGACGGCTATTTCCTGATTGGCTTTCTTTCTGCTGTTCCGGGTTTGTTTTGTATCCCATACTGTCACCTGATTAATTTTACATCCACTTTCCCTTGTTCTCTTCCCCCTCTCCCATTTTGTCAGTACTGTCACCTGATATGTTTTCCCTACACTTTACCTGATTTGCTTTTCATAATACTGTCCCCTTACATGTTTTCATATACAGTCTCCGGGCTTGTTTTCCTCATACTGTCCGCTAGCTTGATTACCTTGTACAGTTCCTTCGGTTATCTTCTGTCACACAAGCGATCAATTCAAAGTGCATGCGTGAGGTCACCGTTTTCTTATACTACCCCAGACCTATTTGGCCCCGGCCCTGGAAAAGCCAGAGTGGGGCTTCAATAACAAAACTCCCTTCACCCTAAGAAGGACGTACGGAACAAGTAGTAATCTCTTATTTCATGGTTTGTTTTCTTATACTACCCCATGCCCCGCCCCCATACTCCCTTCACCTTAAACTGCCTCTTATTTTTTTTTTCTTTATACCATCACTTGGCTTGCTTTCTCTATTATTTCCCCCCGCCCAGTTTTCCCTATATTATCCCCTGATTTGTTTTCCGTATACTATTACCCAGTTTGTTTTCCATTTATTGTTACTTATGTTGCATTCCTTAATCTACCCCTTGGTTTGTTTTCTTAATTCAACGCACTCATTTTTCGGTTTTAATTCGTGAATACCCCGCGACAGCTCGCCCGCCTGCTGGCGTGTTGAATCAGGGTTCAAACCTACTTCTGGAGAAATGTGTCCGTCCAGCCGGAAAATGACAACTGGTCAAACTTGAACAGACGAGATAACAAAATGCTAGGTTAAATCAGTTCTCTTTATGCAGATGGGATGTTTCAGTATTGGTTCCGTTCATCCCTGGGGCTCCTGACCTTAGTGAGAGGCATACAAGCTTTGTAACGTATAGTAATTTGGTATTTTACCCTGGGAAAAGGGTAGATACCAAGCTGACTTCAGAAGATGCAAGTCGGTGGATTCTATCCATAAGTAAAATGTGTGCCGAGTGTTCAAGTGTACAATAGACGTCTAATCTGTTCATGCTACATGTGCGTGTGAGACTTTAAGTCTGTCTATATTATAGATGTGCGGAAAGCTATTGATCTGTTCATAATATAGTTGTGAACGAGAACTTCTGACCTGACAATAACGCATGTGAGTGTAGGAATTTTGCTCTCTCCATAACATATGTTTGTGGGAGAATTCAGATATGTCTATGACATTTGTGTGTAGGGAACTTTTGGTCTGTCCATTACATAACTGTGTGGGATACTTCTGGTTTACCCAGTTTAAATGGAATCAGCAACATCTTGGTTCTTGATGGGAATAAACTTCAGGTCACACTCGCAAAGGACTCATATGTATATGTTTAATATTATATAATATATATATATATATATATATATATATATATATATATATATATATATATATATATATATATATATATATAAATCCACACACACACACACTCAAACACACACACATACAAGCATTCACCCACACACACGCACACATAGAAAAAAAAGGGGGGGGGGAGAGAAAGAGAGTAAGAAAACAAAAGGAGACGTTTCCTCTATGCAGATCCTGTCTCCATGGAAACACTTCCGACAAATCAGTGAGTAATATTCGTAAACAAAATGATTATTATAAACCAGATGTGTCGCCCACACCTGTAGCAACACTCATGGCTCAGAGCTTTTTTTGGCGGGAATTGGTGTTTCTCTAGTTTACGTCAGTCACGTGTTCACTTGTGTATATCTCCACCACCCTAACACCCACCCCCCCCCTTTCTTCACAATAACCTGTCCAGCCATGCCAGTATCTGACTGTGTCTATGTACCCGTATGTGTATCTGACGGTGTCAATGTTTCTGTGCACACTCCATAAGCCAAATGTAAACGTGGTCTTGACTGTATCCAGTCAATTTTATCGCCCCTTACGCTCTGTTTGAATCTCGCTATATGGTTTCAGGGAATGAACTGGACACCTAATTAACATTTGTCTATAGCTAATCATCATCATGTAGCAGGTCCTTTGCAGAACGTCGCTCTCATCACAGTCTACCTGAAAGATACTCGGTCTCTCGCCAGTTCTCCCGGCTCATGTAATTTTATACTCAAGGAGTCACCTATATCATGTGCTCATCTTCGTGTCGGTCGGCCCCTGCCTCTCCTCCCTGGTACCATGCCTTCTGCTATAATCTTTTTGCAATTCGTTGTGGCGCTTGATATGACCAAAATATTTCAGCTTTCGAGACAGGATGCTGTTTATTAGCCAATCTTCCTTGATGTTAAGATCTTTCAAGATGTTAGAATTTCTTGTCTTTAGCTGCTCTGATGAAATACATTGTCAGACATGTTTCACTTTTATAACCGAACCTGTTTTATTTTCCAGTCCAGTTTTCCTCTGCCGACGACTCGCTGGTTGTGCCAACTTTAATACAAAAGCACACTTTCTATCTTGAAAGTAGCCCAAGTCGAGGACCCATCCGCTTGGCTGCTGGATGGGTCGAGAGAAGTGCTACCTCCTGCGCAATCTCCTGTCTAGACACTTACGTGGACTGCCTAAGCTTCATGTTTAATTATGAAACCGGACTCTGCACACCAGGATCGTCAATAAGCAGAATCGAACTCCCACCAAGTTCAGCCGAAGGCAGCCTTTACTACAGCTGCGACTCACACCAAGGATTCAGCCTGAAAACCTATGGATCCACAGTTGCCTGTGTAGGTCTATTTCGGCCCAAACTAAACTATACCATGGCAGACGCTGAGTGTACTAACAAAGGAGGCTTTCTCATGTCAGTGAAAACTGTAGACAAACTGATAATTCTGACTCAAATCTGGGACTTCAACAATACGTGGGTGGGTTGCGATGACTTGGCAGAACAAGGGCAGTATAGGTGGAAGGAAGACGGCGACCTGTTGACCACTGAGACCATCAGCTCCATCTTTAGCAAGAATGAACCCAGCGACAACGGGCAGGACTGTGTCAACATTGGGGCGGGGTCAGGCAAGCTGGGAGACATGCTCTGTCAGATGTCTGCCCCCTACGTTTGTGAGATTCTCTTACCCTAAGGCACAACCCAAGGCTTTGGAGCACCTCCAATAGGTCTAAAACATAAGCACGTTTATTAGTGATCATTCATTAGCAAACTACAGGCAATATCCTAGAGCGTTGCAAAATTCTGGGGTTTGGAAACAACCGTGGGACAGTCTTTTTCCTCAAATTAGGCAACATTTCTTTGGAAAGGTAACATTTTGGTATGAGGCAACATCGTGGCGTTAAGCAACATCACTGGTACAAACAACATTTTTGGGATATGCGACATGGTTGGGACAGACACAGTCTTGGAGTCTCTCAGGATTTTCGGGTCAGGCACTATCTTGGGTCATGCAACGTCATAGAAACAGGCAATATCCTCGGGGCAGACAATGTCCATGAGTTAGGTAACATCCTTGGGTCAGGCATCATTATCTGAACAGACAATGCTCCAGGCAATATTCGTAGGTCAGGTAACATCTTCGGGTCAGGCACTATTTGCGAGACAGGCAACACATTCAGGATAGCTAGGCAAAATGCTAGTTTCATGCAACATCCTGGTGTCAGGCAACCTCCTGGTTTCAAGCACCATCCATTGGCCAGGCAAAATTCTCTGTCAGGCAATATCCTAAGTGCCAGGCCGTATAAGCAGGTCAGCCAACTTCCTCGTACCATGCAACAGTCTCTGTCAGGCAACACCTTGGTATCCTGCAACACGTTGGTATCAGGCATCATCTTGGTATCAGGCAACATCTAAGTATCAGGCAACACCTTGGTATCATGCAACACCTTGGTATCATGCAACATCTTGGTATCAGGTAACATCTAGGTATCAGGCAACATCCTGGTATCAGGCAACATCTCGGTATCAGGCAACATCTTGGTATCAGGCAACATCTCGGTATCAGGCAACATCTTGGTATCAGGCAACATCTAGGTATCAGGCAACACCTTGGTGTCAGACAACACCTTGGTATCAGGCAACGTCTAGGTATCAGGCAACATCTTAGTATCAGGCAACATCTAGGTATCAGGCAAGCAACATCTTGGTATCAGGCAACATCTTGGTATCAGGCAACTTCCTTTGGTTGAAAACCTTTTCTGTCAGGCAGTATCCTCGGAGTCAGGTAATATCTTCGACCATACAACATCCCTAGGACAGGCAACTCCATTCTGCTAGGAGACTCTCTGACACAGCTAGCACTTGAATACGTTCATACATTTATAAGCACTGACTGACACTCAGAACACAAAAAGGAACAGGTAACTCTCTAGAGGACATTTGAAGGCTGAAGAACATATCGTTTTGCAAACTCAGTTTCATACGTATTTAGAATTACCACGTTTCTCACCTGACAAATGTGCTTAGCATGTGCCATCACCAACTATGTGCTTAAGAAATGAATGTCCACTTTCATCTTCAATCAGTAGAAACATCATGCAAAAGTTAATTCTAATACCCCTTAAGCAGTGAGTTCATGTACTGATTGATATGTATTTTGTTAATGCAACAGTGGGAGCTTGATGCCTTTCTTCCTCCCCCAGTCGGTTAAAATTTATGATGTCGTTGTTCTTTTTTCAGGAGAAGGAAATACGAAAATAGTCGTTACTCTTCCACCATGAAAATGCAATTTACCATCCATCCTACATGTAGCTTACAAACTGATGTAAGCTCGTCATGTCTGTGCCCAATCTGGCCTAGAGGCATCCTATAATACCTCAGTAGGCAGATGTAATTAGGTTGCAGACGACGACAATCTGCAATCTTCTTCTACGTTCAGCCATGGTGAACTTCTAGTCCCAAGTGCATTACACACAGGGCGGTGCGTCTAAAGAAGATGTCGGTCCCACGCATCTTCTCATGAAATGTAACCTGGGTGGGCTGGATCCCCACATTTTGTCGCAGTCTTCAAAGGCATCTACATCTAACCCGTCACTGGAGGCTAAAGGTTTCTTTTTCGCTTAATAGCCAATCCATGCTAAATTTGGTTAATTTCTCATCTGGTTAAGGAGTTCTTGTTTTCTTTCTTTCATAGAGTACACATGACCTGCAACTGTTCTGTTATCTACTGTATATTCTGAGTGTCAACTACTCACCTATCCCTCATGGTAGACCACATTTTTACAACAGAAAGGAGACCGACCCCTCCCTCCCCCTTAAAAAAAAAAAAAAAAAAACCCATCCTACAGTGTTAATGGTTGCAGGGCCCGGCTCTAAACCGGATTTCGCGGAGACCGGGTGACGTATTCCTTGTGGTCCGGGTTCAATCCCGGGGGTAGGCAGAAAAGCCACATTTTCTCCCAGATTTACGGTATTTACAATGGAATCAAGGCCGAAAGGTTGCGATATCCATAATACCGAGCCTAAGGGTTAACAACTCATGGCTTCTGGATACTAAAACAAACAATGGTTGCAGGGCTCAAACAAATGACGGGCTGAGGTAAAGAGTAGGGGAAACTGATTACGACATAATTCATTATGTGTTCCAGGGAGGGCAGAGTTTTACAGGATTAGCCCCCTTGATAGAAGTTCGGCTTCTGCTTCTTCGGGAATTAAGAATCCACAGAGAAACCGTAGGTGCGAAGTTTCAAACCTTCTGGTAACAAACAGTATTTCCTCATGTTGTCTCCTTTGCAGAGTCTTTAAGACAAATCAGAAGGGCTGTGAAAATTGTCTGATTGTTTTGTATGCAGACGTGGGCATATTTTGGTGCCTTATTAATATCCTACCCCAAACAGGGGAAATCTACAGGTCACGGGTCAGTAAAATATTTTAGGGGGTGGTAGATACGCTGCACGCAGTCGTAGAACCTATGCTGTACTCTCTCGTGGGACGTTGGTGGGCTTAGGTTCGGGGAAGTTCTGGATTTTTTTTGGGTTCGTTACATCAGAAAGCCGGGAAACCCAGAATTACCACCCTCTACATTTTTTGACTGTCCTGTGACGTCATCTGGGGTAGGATATTAATAAAGAACCTTGCAATGAACTCTGTTCTTATTCACTTTGGCTCCAGTCACTTACAGACTCCTCATTCATGCGCCGACAGTCAACACCACGAGTAAAAATGGACGACAGTAAACGATACAACGCGGTTTCACTCTTTATGCTCCACTCGCTGTTTCTTCAGCCGGTACATGGTGAGGTGAACTGTCTAGATACTCATATCTACCCTAAAAGCACTAATACGTATCAACTTTACTTTGCGACGAAGCACAACTTCCATTACACCACTGCAATTAAACAAAAACTACTTTCCTCCATGACGGTGACGAACACAATCAGCTGACAGACGATTTTCCGCCAGTCCTTTGCTGCCTGGCCAGGTAAGGCGGTAGAAACTACATTCAGGCTCAGACACATATTGGATACAACAAACACTCCATGCATTCAGTTTCTTGGCCCAAGCGAGACTCCCATATGCTCTTTCTAAGGCATTATATAATCCTTTACCGCCCACATTATAATTACGACTTTCTCATGTTCTCCGATTCACACGGGTTTCATTTGGCCAACATTTTCCCCCATGCATCTCGGCTTTGCACTCGTTACATTTAAATATCTCATTCATATTTATTACCTGACGTCATTCTTTCTGTAACATAACTTATCAAGGAGAAAATGGTTCCCTACAAACTCATATTATTGTTCTAATGGCCATGTGTGCTGGACTAATATTTGACTCTTTGACTGACATGTGTTTGTTTGATTTTTGCCTGTTTAATATGTTTGCCTGTTTGAAACATTTGCCTGTTTGATAATGTTGCTTGTTTCATATTTTTGTTTTTCCCATAAACTTGACTGCATGATGTTTTTCCCAGTCTGAAATATTTAACTGTTTGAAATAATTTCCTGTGTGATACATTTGCCTCTTTGATATTTACTTGTCTGTTAGAAATATTTGACTGCTTGATAGATTTGCTTGTGTGAGATACTTACCTGTTTGGTATTGCCTGTTTGACTATTTGCCTTTTACCAACAACGTTGTCTTTGCCCCCACCACATAGTGACTGGAAGAATAACTATATTTTGGGTGCCTACATTTTTTACTTTCCATCAGTTTCATTTGTTATTTTAAATAATTATGTCATAAGACATTTTTTCCCCCAGCAAATTAAATATTTATACCCGAAATAACTAAAACATAAACACTATGTGATAGGAATGGCTGAAGTTAAATGTTCAATTAGGAATCGACATCAAAGCTTTCGGGACACTCCTATAAGTGCCCAGTCCCAATCTTCAGCAGCAAGAGAAGAGTTCAAATTCTGGTGGTACCAGTAACTGCCTGATTGCATATCCGTCTCATCCTTCCCCTGGGTGTTGAGGTTCGGCCAGATCCCCTGGTAACTCCTCGTAATGATGTATCTGCGCCTACGCACTGTTAACGTTCCCAAAATGCCCTACCAATATTTAACTTGTCATACATCAATTCACAACTAAGTGGTGCAGAGCCAGCTAGTGTATCTGCCTGCTTATTTCCAAACACACCGGCATGACCTGGAGAAATTATCCAAAGGATGCTAACTACCAGGGACCTCTGAAGTGGGTTGAAGAACCGTACAGAATAAGTTGACGTACAAACAGGCTAGGTCATAATGGAAGTAAGTAAATGTTCCTTTTCTTCAGGTGCTAGGCATATAGGACTAGACCTATATTTGATAGACCAATCGTCATTCGGTAGATGATGTAGTCAACATTACACCGGCCGCCTCGACCCTGTTCAAGGCTAGGTCGATCTTGGAGCTAAGGTCATTTTTGATAAATGTCCGGTTCCACCGGGAATTGAAGACACCACCTTCCGATCCGCAGGCGAGCGTTGAGCCTCTATAAAGAGTTGGATACACTAAAGCAAAGAAGCAGGAACCCACGAACACATAGTAAGTTACTCAGTACTGAAATAGTGAGCACTTCACCACCGCCATCATCATCATTACCATCTTGTGTCATGCTAAGAGGAAATTGTCCTATGTATTCTGTATACACGCGACTAACAGCTTCTGATTATTTCAGCAATGTATGTAGTAATCACGACTGTGTGGTCTCTTCGCCCTTCAGTGACCACATCATGAACAAATATCAAATCAAATGAAAACAGAACTAGTTAGCCTCACGCTATCATAAACACAAACGACAAGTCAAAGTTACGGCTGGAAATTTTTTTTCAGCATCTTAGATAGACAATGTTACAAATGCGGAAAAGAAAAAAATACACACAATTTCTTCACTGAGGTATCTCGGAAGGAAATCTACGTTTCTGTGTGGCTAGTTAAAGCCCTGACACTTGTGTGCCTCCAGTGTGCACTTAAAGCATCCATATTCCACAGGTCTACAATAAGATGCACTGTATCAAAAGTAGTGAAAGGTAATTTTGTTTTAATGGTAGGAAATCTGTTAGAAGTAGTAAATAAGCGTGACAGAATAAGTGAGAGGGCTAGCGAGAGAGAGGAAGAGAGAGAAGGAGAGAGTAAATGCCTAGACTCTAGTGTCAGCGATACGGCATCTCACAGACATAGACATGTCTCCCAGTACACTGAGTATCCAATATCCCACGGTTCCCTGTATAGAAAATGACACAGTCCTCATCTCCACCCACATCATTTGGTTCTCCTACTGCAAACAAATTGACGCGTTCCGAGTTGGTCATCATCTGCCCGTTATCTTTCCATACAAACTTTCCTTCCTGATTGATATCGTCACATCCTATCCATGCTGAGCGGCTTCCTGTCAGGTTTACGAAGAAATTTAACTGCTCTACTGTTTTTACCGACATCAGATAGGCGCCCCTGCTCTGGCAGTCATTGTCTGCTGCCGCATATGTCTTCTTTGCCAACACCACCAGGCAGGCTGTCGTGTTTAGGTAAGCTTTTACACTGAAGCCTTTAGAGGTGTCGCAATAGAAGCTCTGAAAGAAATCCCCCTCCTCAGAGCTCGGGAGCGGCTGCTTCTCGTTGATGTAGGCACCGGGCGTGCAGAGTCCTGAATTAGAGTTGAAGAGAAAACTGGTGCAATTGTTGTATTTGGTCATACAGGTTTTCCCGCAGGATTTCCGGGATCTATCGACCCAGGGGTTCCCCAGACGTACGGGACCCCGTCTGGGGTTGGGCTGGATGTAAAAGTGGCGTTGAGTGAACTCTAATGATGTTGAACTGGTACAGGAAATAAGGACAGCAGTCACTGTGGATAATAAAATAGTACACAATACAAGATTGGCTCTTCAACACTAGAAAGAAGAAAAGGTGGAGATCGTTGTGGGGCAACAAGGTGGCCACATTTAAAATATACAGAAGTATTCAGAAGTCGCATATTTTGGTATACTGACACATTGTCATCATCATCATCATTGTCATCAAAACCATCATCATCACCATTATCATCGTCATCACCATCATCACCACTATCACCAAGTGGTCAAACAGTTTGCCTCGCGCTTTAAAGGTCATAGGTTTTTTTTCATGGCTTTATCACAGTGTACATAGAAGTGGAAATGAGATCTCTTGCGGCTACCTCGACGGCGAAGATTCTTACTGTTTGTGGTTCGTCTCTCCTCAGACCAACTGCGAGGTTACTGTATTTCCCGAGCTTATACATATGACTTTCGTCAACTCGCGACTCATACGACACGGTCAATTCAGTCAGGACAAGCTGTCGTTTCTCCGCAGAGTGTAGGACTATGTCCGGTCGCAAGACCCTAGCTTGGTCCACAACGGCCGCTAACTCTTTCGGGACCTTGTTGTGGCGCCAAGTATATCTTCCTTGACCCAGGGCTTTTCTGCACGCGGACAATACGTGCTTGATAGTGTGTTTAGCTCTGCATAGTGGGCATCCTGGGTCGGTAACCGCATGCCACTTGACTATGATGACACCAGATGGTAACACATCGTAAGCAGATCTAACGATAAAGCTCAGCCGCAGAGAGGCTATTCGCCAGATCTCACTGGCCTTGCTGCGACTGTTGAGCGGTATTTCGGACCCGAATTTCGTTTTCGGCGTCCCTTATCTGTTATATTACCATTTCTAGGCGCTCTTTGGCTGTGGCTTTGGACCATTAACTGACTTTTCCGTGCCCTAGGTCACGACTGTCGGTTTGTGTTTAACCCATCACTTCTTTGAATTTCAGTGCATCTTGGGCAGATTCAATCTCATCTAGGACTTTCCATTTCTGACCTGTCTTTAGAGCGTGCTGGACTGCAGTGACTGTGGGGTTTGAAAACTAGCGCAACATTATTGCGAGTCAGACTTTGCCAAATTTAAACTCTTCGGCTATTGATTTGAAGGGGAGTACCTGCTTAGCCTGCTTACAATACAGAGCCATATCAGTCAGACAAGGTGGAGCTCCCAGACATTCCCTCATGGCTTTATTGATTTAACGCTCCATTGCCTCCACTGCAGTAATCGTCACTTCGTAGACGAGCAGTGGCCAGAGGAGCTTTGGGATCAACATAAACTGGAGACACCAGACCTTAAACTTTCCGATCAGCCTACAACGCTCGATCACGAGCAGGTCGGTAGCCAGTGACTCATGTATTCGCCGAACCTCTGCTATAATCAGACAACTTCGAATCTTCAACGCGCCCAAGGCTCTTCACCGGGTCCTCTAGAATTGCGGGGATCCGATTCTTTGCCACGGTGAAACTGATCATCGCGACCCAACCTTTCAAGAATGAAAGACTTGTTTTCTGCGGTTTGAACTGTATACCGCTTCATTAGACCACGTAGTCCAATCTTTTTGTAATCGTGCTGGCAGACTCCTCACTGCCCGTAATTATATTCGTCTCATCCATAATTGCACGTAGTGGCGGCATTCAGTGGTCCCCAATCTTAAGGCCTTGTCCGTAGCTGACCGCCCCGTCTAACATGACCTGCATGGCCATAGCTAACAGTATTGGCAAGTCCGTACATTCCATTGCTATCCCAAACTGGAGCCCAGTCAATCTCGTAGTAAACGTCGGGGTAGGAAAGAGTATAGCGAACTTTGATAAATATTGCTCGATCATTTCGGTGATCTGTGTCGGTATGTGGAACATGCGAAGAGCCTGCCATAATAGCTTTTGGGGAACTGCCCCTAAAGGCGTTAGCAAGGTACAACCATATCAGGTGCAACTGCGTTCTCTCTGCTTTAGCCCTCTGAATATACTAGATCAGGTCGCGTGTTTAAGGCACCCAGGGACGCCCGGGATTCCACCTTTCCGAACAGTCGTATCGATGTATTTGACCGCAATTAGATACTGTGTGAGCCTGCAAAGAAGAAGAAGAAGAAGAAGAAGAAGAAGAAGAAGAAGAAGAAGAAGAAGAAGAAGAAGAAGAAGAAGAAGAAGAGAAGAAGAAGAAAAAGAAGAAGATGAAGAAGATACAGCCAGTCATGAGTGCCACCAGCAGAGAAAGCATTACGTTGGAGGATTGAACGCACTTAGCCCCCGCCCTTTAATTTTCTGTTCCTGTTTAGTTAATTTATAACAATCTTTGTTATATTTTTATTGCACAGTTAAACAAGGCTTAGGCTTTTTGAAGCCACCGCCCCTAGAAAATTGTGTCAGCGGGCAGCTTTAGGGGTCTTAAGCCTGGTTCAATTGCGTAATAATAATACTACGATGAAATTAATGGAGCACTATAGAATATCACAGATATTAAAGGCAATATACAGACATGAAATGACAAGTTTTTTACGAGGAAAGCTAACAGATATATTTGAATAGGGATGTCTTTTGTCGTCTCTTTTTATTTTTTCTAGCAATAGACTGGACTATGAAGACAGCAACTGCTAGCCCAGGAATAGAATTTAGTTTGACCCCTTCATAACAGCTCGACTATCTGGACTTTACTAAAGATATTTATCTTCTATCCCATTCACCTATTTCAAATGCAAGACTAAAAAAATATACTTGATGCGATATCACAACAGACAGGTATAAAAATCCATAAGGGAAAGACAAAGATAATGAGAATAGATCCGGCAAGTAGTAATGTGGTTTCTCTGAATGGTACCCCACCTCAAAACGTGGAGTCGTACACCATTTTGGGCAGTAATGTAGATAATGATGGGGGAACTGACAGAAATATTAAAATACCAATGCAAAAAAGCAAGAGGTGCTTTCATAGCACTAGGGAATTTGTGGAGGTCAAAAGAAATTACAAGAAATAAGAAGCTTAAAATTGTTAGTTCTAATGTCAAATCGGTACTAATGTATGGAGTGGAAACACAGAGAACAGCTAAGGCAGTTACGAATCACTGCGCAGAATAGAGGGAATTAAAGAGTATGATAGAATCACTAATGTAGAGCTTTGGGAGAGAACTACGCAAGTTCCAGTGGACCAAGAGGTAAAGAAAGGGCGCTGGCGGTGGTTAGGACACACGCTGAGAAAATAGGAACACATTCTTACAGTGGAACCCTCAGGGGCATCGGAATAAAGGAAGACAAAGAGAAGGGAGCTAGAAAGTGAAGTTTAAAAGATCTGGTGAACATGATGAGTGCCTGCATGTGATAGGAAAGGGTAGAACGACTTGGCGTGAGTTTGTTGAGTCCCTATGCTCTTTTTTGGAATAGAAAGTATTAATACTACACGTGTTATTACTGGGCGCTGAATGGTTAATAGATAATATATTTGAACAACTGATGTCTGAGGGTGGAAAAGGAGGGGAAAAAAAAAAAAAGGGGGGGGGGGTGTCGATGTACCGAAACCAGCCTTGTCAATATTGTACATGGCAGATTCCTGTCTCTGTACCGTGGGTGCCTGTCTGTCTGTCTATCTTCCGGCATCCTTGCATTCCGGAGAGCAGGTATGTTCACCTACCTACTACCTTACCACTTTATTATTCCCCTGCCTGCCTATCCTCTTGCCTACATATCTGATTGACTGTTTATTCACCTGCCTGCCTATCGTCATACCTACATATCTGACTGACTGTTTATTCACCTGCCTGCCTATCGTCTTACCTACATATCTGACTGACTGTTTATTTACCTGCCTGCCTATCGTCTTACCTACATATCTGACTGACTGTTTATTTACCCGCCTATCGTCTTACCTACATATCTGACTGACTGTTTATTCACCTGCCTGCCTATCGTCTTACCTACATATCTGACTGACTGTTTATTCACCTACCTGCCTATCGTCTTACCTACATATCTGACTGACTGTTTATTCACCTACCTGCCTATCGTCTTACCTACATATCTGACCGACTGTTTATACACCTGCCTGCCTATCGTCTTACCTGCATATCTGACTGACTGTTTATTCACCTACCTGCCTATCGTCTTACCTACATATCTGACTGACTGTCATTCACCTACCTGCCTATCGTCTTGCCTACATATCTGACCGACTGTTTATTCACCTACCTGCCTATCGTCTTACCTACACATCTGACTGACTGTTTATTCACCTGCCTGCCTATCGTCTTACCTACATATCTGACTGACTGTTTATTCACCTGCCTGCCTATCGTCTTACCTACATATCTGACCGACTGTTTATTCACCTACCTGCCTATCGTCTTACCTACATATCTGACTGACTGTTTATTCACCTGCCTGCCTATCGTCTTACCTACATATCAGACTGACTGTTTATTCACCTGCTTGCCTATCGTCTTACCTACATATCTGACCGACTGTTTATTCACCTGCCTGCCTATCGTCTTGCCTACATATCTGACCGACTGTTTATACACCTGCCTGCCTATCGTCTTACCTACATATCTGACCGACTGTTTATTCACCTGCCTGCCTATCGTCTTACCTACATATCTGACCGACTGTTTATTCACCTGCCTGCCTATCGTCTTACCTACATATCTGACCGACTGTTTATACACCTGCCTGTCTATCGTCTTACCTACATATCTGACCGACTGTTTATTCACCTGCCTGCCTATCATCTTGCCTACATATCTAACTGACTGTTTATTCACCTGCCTGCCTATCGTCTTACCTACATATCTGACTGACTGTTTATTCACCTGCCTGTCTGTCGTCTTACCTACATATCTGACTGACTGTTTATTCACCTGGCTGTCTATCG